TTGGGCAAAATAACCGTGAAAAAGAGATGAATACATTTTGGCCAAGATTTATGAAGAAAGATTATTTATTTGCAAATTTTTAAAACACTTTTTTTTTTAAATGTTTGCTCTTTTTCATTTATATAGCAAAAAAATAAAAATCCCAGTGGTGAATAAATACCATCAAAAGAAAGCTCTAGCGGTCTCAAAAAAATGCAAAAAATGTCATATTGGTACAGTGTTGCATGACCACGCAATTGTCCTTTAAATTGTGATAGTACTAAAAGCTGAAAATTGTCCTGGACTGGAAGGGGTGAAAGTGTCTGAACCTGAAGTGGTTAGAACATTTTCAAGGGCAAATCAAATGAAAATCCTAATATATAGTGGTACTAAACTATAAGGAGAAAAAAGGCTTTATACCATTAGAATTAAGTATTTAATGTGCATTTTATTTTCTTATATTTTATTGCATGTCATGTGTATTTTACAATAAGGTACTTGCATAATAAGGTAAAAATCTACATACGTATGCAAATTTAGCAATATATTTAGATTGGAAGTGATGTTTGCAAGAAGCATGGGTGAAGAAAAGCTTGGAAGCTACTGAAGCTGAAGCTACAGCCCTAAGGAGTTGCTAAGTAAGTACATACTTATATAGATAAATACATACAAAACATCTTGTTCTTTGTTTGAAGTACAGTATATCTAAAGCCAATTTTTTTAATCCTGGATAACGCGGTGAAGAGATAAACCTTCGTCAGGTTTAATTGTGTCCTTGTGATCATTGTCACCGAGGTTTAAATATTTGGGAAATCCATCATTTTGAGTTGTCGCTATAACAGGAATAGAGAAGAAATTACACTATGGGGTTGATTTCCTAAAACTGGAGAGTGCAAAATCTGGTGCAGCTCTGCATAGTAGCCAATCAGCTTCTAACCTCAGCTTGTTCAAATAAGATTTTACAAAAACCTGGAAGCTGATTGGTTTCTGTGCAGAATTGCACCAGATTTTGCACTCTCCAGTTTTGGCAAATCAACCTCTATGATGGGATTTATCTCACTTAAGAAAGATTACTTCTCACTTTCTCTGGTGTCCCATTAGAGAGATTTACCTTCACACCCTGTCCTGTGGAAACAAGTAAAAAAAATGGATTTTAAAGTGTTACTAAACCCAGGACCCTGCATCCACTATATCTGGTCTCCCACTGTACACAGAACATGGAAATGCAATTATTTTAGTAAATATAAACTGCTAAATACCTTTTCTCAACAGAAGTTAGAGCAATCTTATGACTTCTATTGGTGTCCAGCCCACCACTAGCTAAAGCTTGTAGGAGGAGTTTTTTTCTTTCTGCTCTAGGATGATGCAAAACCCCTGACCTCTGTCTGACCAGTGCTGATTGGCCCTGTGCTGATCACATGCACTCTCTCAAGAAAAAAAAAAACACCTCTATAGCAATACACACCAAACTGAGCATGTGTAAATGCCTAAGGTTCCGTCTGTCTTATCAGGAGATAAGAGGTGGTCACTTGAAAAAGGGAGGAACAGAGAAGAAAGGATCAAAGGGCCTTATTTACACAATGCAGAGGATTAACCTCTTATGTTCCACATTGAGTATAACAAGCATGCTTTACTGCATATACAGGCTGATTTTACTGTTGTGGGTTTAGTAACACTTTAATTATCACTACCCAAATAAAAATGAAAAAAAAAAAGGTTTTGGATACATTTTAAATCATGAGAGCATCTCAAAGTTCATATGATCAGTGGACACACTAGTTCACGCTCTAATAATGTGATGTGGAAAGCATAACTTTTTCAATGATCAATTTTACTTCCCTATCTTCATTTTTAATTTTAACTACTTTTAAACATATAATATAATATATATATACAAATAATGTTTGAAAGGTATAAGGATATATTGCTGACACGGCACTTTATACTTGCTTTACCTCTTGGTGAGTCTCACATAAAACTATCTGACCTTGTTCGTGGACAATGTTTCTCCGTAAAAAATCCTATAGTATGCTTCTTCACAAACATAAAGGCAGGTTTCTTATGTATGTCAATTTTTTCTATATTTTTTTTGCTTGTATAAGTTGCATTTTTGCCTTTTCATTATGCTGAAAAAAACCATACATTTATTGATGTTATCAAATAAGTGCCCATTCCTTGAGTAAGAATGATGGCATTAAAGTACTCAGCAGAGGTATGCACTGCACAGGGCATCTCAAAATGGTCTTTTAAGAAGTGATAAAAACAAAACTGAAGTTGCTATGATTTCTACATGTGAAATTATGTCAATAAATTACATTGTAAATAAAAGTTACATTTTAGAAATTTGTAAATGCTATCTGATTCTTTACCATAGGTACCATTTTAATAGAAGTATTGTACAGAGTATCAAAAATTAATTAGGTCAGAAGAAGATAGCACTGCATGCGCCATCATTGATAGATTGATTTGAAAAGGTAAGCCCACCTTTTACAAAAAAGAATAAATGCACATACAATATATTTGAAACAAACAAACCAAGGTACAGACTATCAGGTAGAGAGCTGGATGAAGTGTAAATGGGTGATTAGTACAGTGATCATTGCAATTGTCTCCCATTGTGAACTTCAAATTTTTTTCTGCCGCGGTAGGGAGGGGGTGGTTTTGGGGGTCGGATTTGAACCATCTTACACCCTAAATACAGATATAACATGTTCCAAAACCTGAAGTAAGCCTTTAAAGTATCCAGTCTACTAATCTTTCCTAGTTTTGAAAGTGGAGAATGGTTGAGCCCCTTTTGGTTTTTACTGCTATCTAGAACTCCCCTCACTTTTGCTGTGAACAGTTTCACGATACAGAGAATAAGGCTCAATCTCTAACAACACAGATACAATTTTATTATTTTGTAATATAGGGAAAGACTGGAACCCCTAGAAACTTGCAACTGATGTCTGTGTCCCTGTTGCAGATTTTCCCCTCACTTCATGTCTGGTGAAACCAATTCTAATTCTTCCCTTTTCTGTAAAAACATTACAAATTTGATTGGACCTACACAGTAATACACCGCTTCCTTGTTAAAAATTGTGAGCTCCTTGTAGGCATGAAGTCAAGTGCCTAATTAAACATTCTGAAGAAAAAAATATTCTCCTGTACCTTGAAAGTGGCAAACTGCACCTTTCATCCTTTATGTAGGTGAGAAGGAGATGAGCACATTGGACTGCAATAGCACATCTTCTACCAGGATGTTTAATTGTCTAGGGGAAGAAGAAGGAGGTGAAAACACAGCGAGTTTTTTTCTTTCTCCTTAAAGTATTGAAAGAATGAGAGTGCCACACTTGGCACTGCTTTTTGTAGATCCGTCCTCTTGACACAGGTCCTGGACAGTTTTTTGTTCTTATTTTCTTTTTTTTTTTTTTTAAATAATTGATGTTTATTTATAAAAAGCAGAACATATAAACATCAGTGAGCCATAGAAAAGCTTTGCATGTTATGAAGTCATTTAGTACATAGTAACAAATGTTGGTTTCTGAGAAAACTTGTAGTATAATCCAATCAGTGGTCTACATGAGGCATTTTCATATTGAAATGTTTACAAGTTGCAGGTACAAACATCAAATCTGACATGAGAAAGTGCATGCACAGAAGAATGAAAATTTAGTAGAGAAAGAAAGAAAACAGCAGTCGTAAGAACAGATCCAACTTTGCAAGAAGTGCCCAGTATCCACCAGCATGGTACGCACACCAAAGAAGAGAAATGCTTCTTGCCCATCAGTCCCTTATATGTTTCAGAGAAGGTGAAAGCATACCAACTGGACCATAATTTATGAAATCTGGCAACCATTTCTTGTTCTTATTTTCAGCACCTCTGGTGTTGGTGGTCAGGCTTGGCTGGCTGGCTTCTGTGTTCTTCAACTATAGCAGCCCATTTTCCCATAAGGCAAGCAGGCCTACCAGTACTCAATGCCCCTAGGTCTTATACACAATAGTATACAGGGGCGGACTGACCATTTGGAAACTCAGGCACTGCCCGAGGGCCCGGGGTCAGTAGGGGGCCCCATGAGATGCCCCATGTACATTTTTTCATAGGATTTTTTGAGTTTGGGCAAGGACACAGGGGCCCCATGTTCCCCTTTTGCCCGGGAGCCCCATGAGTTGTCAGTCCGCCCCTGATAGTATAGTGCCTGGCTACCATGCTGAGGCAGGTGCAAACTGAGCATAGTGAACTTGCAGTTGGCAGATAGGCAGAGTGGTCAACAGCAGTGCAGGGTCAGGGCAGGCAGTGTTCAGAGAGTAGTCACGGTCACATCCATGGTCAAAAGGTAGGCTAAGTTCAGAGCAAAGTCAAAGTCCAATCCAAGGTTGACAACAGGGAGTCAACGTAGGGTGAAGATGAAGGTTGAGGCACAGGAACAAGGCAGGGAAATAGGGAACTGCAAACACTATCACAAAAATTTCACTGATGGCTTGACAGGCTTAAAACAGGTTTTGGACATGACCCAAGGGCTAGCAATCACCCTGCAGATAGACAGTTGAACAAAGAGAATGCAGCTTAGCCAAAACTAGGATGCTGGAATGAGACCAGCAGTTACCAGGGGTCAGGAGCATTACATGCTCCTGTCAAACACACAAACTCTATTGAAAATAGATTTGTGAGTCTCTGAAATGTGTTGTATTTTTTTTATCCTTACATCACATTGAATAAAGGAATCTAGACTGGAGTCAACAACAAACTAGAGCACCACTCTCATTCTTCTAATACACTTTTAAGGAACCAAGTCCAAAAATCAGACTGTCTTCTGTCCACCAAAAGGGTCCAGTGCTCCTACAATATAAATCTATTTTTCATCCACAAAACAGGATAGGTTTATATAGGTTCTGAATGATAGAAACCCTGTTCACTTTAATCATCCAATTAATTTACAAGAAAATGTTATATATTTTTTTCATTTTCATTGTACATTGCACAATGGGTATTGAAATCAAAGACAGAAATATATGTAATAAAGCCAGGGATTGTGACGTCTCTAGAATTTGAAAATGTGTAATTTTTTTAAAGTGTTCTTTACATCTTTATTTCTTAAAGTATAAATAAAAGGATTTAAAAGAGGAATAACGACGGTGTACAGGAGGGCAAGAAATTTATCATAATGGCTACCCTTTGGCTTTATGTACACTATGATAACTGAAGTATAGAAGAGGCAGGCAACAGTGAGATGGGAAGAACAAGTGGAGAATGCTTTGTTTTTACCTTCAACGCTCTTAATTTTGGCTATGGTAATAATAATGTGTGTGTAGAAGCCTAAGATAAGAATGAAAGGAATCAAACTGGCAAAAACTGCAGCAATGCTTGTAGCTAAATTACTAACCAGGGGATCAGAACAAGCTAAATTCTGCACAGGAGCCAAGTCACAGAAAAAATGGTTGATCTCATTGGGTCCACAGTATAATAAATCAGCTGTGAAAATAGTGGGAATCAAAGCAATGATAAAACTTACTGTAAAAGCAAAAATTGCTAAAGCAGTGCAGACCATATTGTTTATAATTGCAGAATATCTTAGGGGATGGTTAATTGCTAAATCTCTGTCAAAAGCCATAACTGTAAGCATATAGCATTCTGTTACACCAAGTGCATTGAAGGCATACAACTGGGCAAAGCAATTCATGAAAGATATCCTTCTGTCTGCTGCAATCAAGTTGGCCAGGAGCTTGGGAATTGTAATGGACACAAAGGAGATTTCTAAAGCGGCAAAGACACTGATGAAAAAATACATTGGACAATGGAGGGAAGTTCCAACCTTAACAAGGGTAATAACAGCCGAGTTTCCAGCAATGCTTATAATGTACATTTGAAGTATAATAATGAAAAGTAAGATCTGGTACTTTTGGAAATTGGAAAAAGCCAACAGAATAAATTCTTTCACTGTTGTTTTGTTCAATTGTTCCATTGTTCATAATGTTGAAACCTAAAAAGATAGTGATACAATCAATTATTTACAAAGAAATGCCATAATATACATTCTAGGATAATGTTAATAATTATATCAACAACACACTCCAAATATTCAGGTGGATAATCCAAGTGGGTGTACACATAATTGTTTTCATTCCGGCATTGAACTAAATGGAGAAAAAAAAATGAATGGATTCCCCTATCCACACAAGTGAGATGAATGAAAGAATCCTCCAGATTGTGCTATTGTATTCAGACAGTGTATCTCCTCTGTTATCAGAATACAGTGATCAGACCTGCATCCAACTGCCTGTAGGTACTTATTGAATGAAGATTTTCCAGCAGTCCAATTCCATATAAGCCGATCCACAGATCGACTTCTGTTGAGCAGGGAGGACCACACACAGATCAAAATTTTCTGGTCCCTGCTGAACTGGCCAAATTTGATACATGTGTACCCAGGTTAAAGGCTTTTAGTATGTTGGTGATGGGTTGGGAATAATAACAGCTTTGCTATACAAAGACGTGTTGCAAAATAATATTCATAAATAGGTAAAGTTGATACAGGAAATATCCGATTGCCGCTTGGGGGATCAGGAAGGATTTTTTTCCCCTGCAGGAGCAAATTGGGTCATGCTTTGCTGGGTTTTTTGCCTTCCTCTGGATTAACTGTGGGTGTAGGATTAAAATTTTGGTTGAACTGAATGAACTTTTGTCATTTTTCAGCCAGACTAACTATGTGACTATGTAATAAATAATATAATATGCAATTATAGTGTAAACTGGAAGCGGGTGTAGAACGCAACCTATTCATGCTAATTCCAGGCAGCCTTGATTCTTTTCCAGAGAGTGTAGTGTTTATTGGGTCCCAGCAACAGGTAACATGTCTAACAGTTTTATATATAAAACATATTGTATACAATATTGGAAACCCCTATGAGTCCCCTGCAGAATACTAAATTCTTCTATACATTTTTTAGCAAGGATATGGATTCAACCCATCCAGCAAATATGTCCAATCTATATATGCTCCTATGTGTGATTCAAGCATGCAATCAAATACTTTATACCCTAGGCAACTCCTTCCACCATCATCATCTTTCTAGCAGTTAAATCCTCCCATGACAAAGTTTTTTTGTCCTATTTACTAAGATGTAGAGGAAGCTGATTGGTTGATCAAACATTTTTGATCTTGCTGTTAAGCAATACTCAAGTTATCTTTGAAAACCTAAAACCCTACATACAGTTATTGATAATAACAAGGCCAGCAAGCTACAGTATGTGTTCAAAGCCATTGTTTCCTTAAACAGGAAACAATTAACAATCATTGACCAAATAACTTAAGACCTTGAGTGTTTTGACACTACAGTTTGTATTGGTCTTCTGAATAGAAATAGCAGTGGAAGAATCTGACAATTCAATTCTTTCAGTCCTGAGGATTTTCCTTTTCATGTGTAATCGCAGTCAGTTACAGCTGCTAATAATGTACATTATTACAGAAAAAGTGTGTGTGTGTGTATATATTTATATATAAATATAATATATTTTTCCTACAAGCACAACAGCCCACATGTGGACACGTTTGCCAAATCTATCATAAACAATAATGCATTTTTACCTTTGATATCGATCAGAGGCTCTTAATGCTAAATACAATATTGTGAAAAATGTCGGAAATGTGCAAAGAAAGCTTAAAAGTGAATAAGACTAAACAGTTATGCTGACCGTGTATCCTTGACTGTAATTGATCTTAATGATGAAGTAGACACATTATCTAAAAAAAGAAACAGAAATCTCTGTAATAACTCTCCAGGAATAAGTTATTTATTGGGCCTGCTGTTTGTGTTTTTTATTGGGCTATATCAAGAAATGACGCATTCAGTTTCCGTATATGAAAAATACATTATACACAATTTTGTTCATGTGATCTGATAATATGTAAGTTTACTGGAAATGTATTAGTATGATTTTGACTGTATAGTGATTTAGTGATCATGTACAGTATGTAAATATAATCTGCAGCTCAGACTGTTATGGCTGTGCATCTTCAAATAGGATCTGTGTTTAAGTGACAGCTGTAGTTTTAAGTATATACAGTATGCATATTTACCTGTATGTATATATGTAAATAAAAAATGCTCTTTGACACCCTATTAAAAATTCCTTCGTTTTTTATCCTGTACTAGGAACACAGGACTTGGTATATTTATATTATAGACAAGTTAATTAGTACTTTCCAATTAGCAACATACTCAGGATGAGGGAGCAATATTATTGTGTTGACTGATAACTAGTAATTGTTAAGAGGTTTACTATGGGATTTTCAGTTGCCTAACTGATAACTAACAAGATCCTTCGAGGATATTCATTAAACCTGTCTGCTGTTTAATGCTATAACCATTTAAGGATTTAGAATAAATACACAATAAATATATATAAAATACTAAACATGGTGAAAAAAAGGATAATAATAATAGTTACAATAGGTAACATTTTTATTTTGCCCCTTTTTTTAAGTTTTTAAGGAAGGGAAGGAACTGAGGAAGGGTAGGGAGGAGCAGAGAAAGAGAGACAGAGGGAAAAGAGAGAGAGAGGAGTATTGATAGATAAATAAAGATGGAGAGGAAAAAGGGAGAATGGGGAGGATGGTGGGAAAGGAATAGGATTTAGAGTTTTATATAGATTTGTATATAAACCAGAAAGTTTCTCAGCATCTCTGTATGGCAATCCCAGTATCATATTTGGTATTCTTTGGGAAAAAAGAATTCTTCAACTGGAAGCTAGATAGTATAGAAATAGGGGACTTAAAAAAAAGAAAAGTAAATGTAATCTGAAGTTGTCTATTTAAATAAATACCAGTGGAGCACATACAAAATAAGCCATGGGGATATGAAGAATTATTTGTTGCACAGTCCTCCAAGGAGGTCACCAAATCAGATTCAGGCACTGTACTTGGGGTCACTTAGCAAAACCTACCTCCCTCGTGCTGTGTTCAATGGGCTTCCACTTGCACACATCAGAGTTTGGGTGACCTTGGTAGCCCTATACAGCTGCTCTGGATCCTCTTGCACTGAGTGTGGATCACATCAGATATTGTTGAGCTTTAAGCTGTCTGTCTACTTCCGGTTCCGGCGCCGGATGCTGTGATACGCGGGTCCCGCGGCTCCCGGGATCCCGGCTATATAAAACCCGCTGATAGCCTCGGGGACCCCGCCTTTCAGTCCTCGGGTGTCCCCCACCCTCTGGCAGTGGCCCCGGCATGGAGCGGTACCTTTTGCCGGCGCAGTCCGGTCACGATTCGGCGGCCAGAGCGGAGGGATGCGGCTCTCCCCCTCCTGCAGCCAAGATGGCCGCCGACGATGCCTGTCACGGCATGGACACAGGCAAGGAGCGGGATCACACTCTGGGAGCAGGTCTGTTAGAGTTTCCCTCCCATCTCCTCACTGCCTCTGCATTCCCCTGTGGCACTGACTGCCTAAATGAGCAGTATACAAAAATAGCACAGGCAGTGTCAGCTATCTTGCTCCCTAATATCACCCAGGCTGTAGATAGAGCAGTCACAATGGGCATTGAACAGCTGAGAAAAGATCTCAGCGACCATCTAAACGACTATCTGAGGCTGAACAGCGCTTATCTGATTTAGAAGATGAAGTCCATTCCATGCAAGCGGTTACATCACAATCTAATAGTATACAGCAAAGTATTTTGGATAAACTCGAAGATCTGGAAAATCGCTCACGTAGGAATAACTTACGCATTGTGGGTCTTCCAGAATCTTTTAATACCGGATCTCTCCCTGACCTATGCTCTGCACGGATCCCGGCGGCGCTAGGCCTTTCTTACTCCTGCCAGGTTGAGAGAGCTCATCGCCTGGGGCCTCCGTCTACCGAGCGCCGAACGCCACGTTCAGTGATTGTCCGCTATCTAAATTATGCTGACCGCGTAGCGATCCTCACTTCTTTTCGCAACTCACGGTCTTTGCAGATTGAGGGTCACAAATTACTGCTATTTGCGGATTACTCGCAGGAAGTGTCACGCAAACGGAAAGCATTTCAACAAGTATGTGCTAGTCTTTATCAGAAAGGAATAAAGTTCACATTGGCGTATCCGGCCACTTTACGATTCACTGCACCATCTGGGGTCTCCAAGTCTTTTGTTCATCCTGAAGAAGCCCACCAATATCTCCGAGATCACCTAGCCGAAGGGGATCCGGCGACGCAGCCTGCGGGCAGAAATTGCGGTCCCAGAGATCAACGCAGTCCTCGTAAAGACCCACCTAAACGTCAGCGCATTATTTCATCTTCCTCTAAAGCTCGTCCGCCTTGAAGACCTGTGAGGCCATCGGTCTCAACATAAAAGCTTCAAGCTTTTCTTTCAACCCGATGGGCTCAGATGAAAGAGCTTCTCTATTTTTCATTATTTCCTTGAGTGGTACCTTTTAACCTTTTAATTTACTGAAATGCTCCCACATTTTACAGTTTGAGCCTTGTCGGTTGTTCAGCTCTAATTGTTCAAGTATTATCTGTCTGGCACAGGGCCCTTGCTCTGCCATTTATTTTGATGTCATGTTTTATTTACGAATATGCCTGAATTTAATTTAACTTCCTCTTTCCCGCACATGCCTTGTTCCTTACATCAGCAGGGCTGCGGGGGGTGGGGTGTTGGGGCCGCTGTCGGGGGTACGTTTGAGGGACGCCCTCACGTATCTCAGCAATTGTAACTAGGTCCCTGGGGCTGGCTCCTATCATCTCCACTCCCGGTCACGCTGACGTTGGTGGTTACAGCATGTGGAATGACGTGAAGTCCTTTATACTGTTATTGTATATTATATGTTTTGAATCTTTGTTGGGCCTTACTAGGGCCCTTGCTACTGCCTTTACTCTCTCTCCTCTTTTTTCCTTCCACTTTCACCTTTATTTCTTTGGAGATCTCCGTCGTCCACTGAGACCAGATTTACACCACTCCCATCTGCCGAATGTAGCAGCGCTAAATGTT